GACTGCTGCTTCTCCTTCAACCTGCACCACACCCGTAACAGCAGGACTATCAATTTATTTATAGGCCTATTCAGTAAAATTTTCTATTGACTATATAGGGCTTATACTTTATTTATTAAAATTAAACTGCATGTGTCCATTGATTGTGAAGTTTCACATCGAAAATTGCAGATCAAGCGCATGGGCTGCATGTTTTTTCTTGTTATGAATTGTATCCTATTTTCCGTTATTACAGTTAACTATGCGAAGTGATATGGAACTGTAATGCGGTCAAGAAGACCTGCCTGGAACTACGTTAGCCGTGCGTTTCCCTGAAAATAATTGCACACCTTAGAACGTTGTCAACCAATCAGAATCAAGCATTCAACAGCCCTGTAGTATAAGTTACAGTAATAACTTTGACTGTATCATTAAACAATATACTTTATACTATGGTATAGGCCTACCGTTGTATACGTTCAAAGTTACTTTTAGCCTACTAGCTAATTTTAGCCAAACTCAGTAACTTTCAGTTGACAATGTGGGCATCATTTATTTCGGTTCATTCATGTCACACAAGTAAAACTCAAGCACGTTAATCTAATACAAAATGTACTTACCCAACAGTAGATTTGTAATAATATCGTCGACACAACTCCCTCCTCGTAGTTGTTCAAAGTTCCAAAATCGATGGGGAGAACGCGTTAGTTAACATCTCGCGAGATAATCTCATCGCAGGATTTTGTAATGTCGCGAGATCTTTTGTTACTACATCTTGGCAGCACAGTTTATGGTTTGGGCAATTACATCCAACTCAGACATAAATGGTGACCGGGTATATTTCTGTTTTACATGTATATGCATACATTCCATAAAAAATAACAACGAATACATGATCAGGTAGGCTACAACAGGTTGAAATAATGACTAAAATGCAGTGGCTTTGCAATCACTTAACCATGGGCACTTTGTGATTTATAATTTATTTAAACAAGATAAAGTAAATATATTTACTTTGTATACAAATCATGTATTTCATAAAGATAATTCGTGAAAAAAAATTCTGTCTTGCTAGACTAAACGTGCAGAAGTCGTCAGTTGACGTCTATTATTCACAGCCTGACTAGACGTGTAAAGGACGTCAGTGGACGTCTTCACAACCTCTTAAAAACTACTCGTGCAATTCAATTAATTATTGCAGTATTAACCATGCAAGGATTAAGCACAGCTTTTGCCTATTTCACAAGGATTTCATAGAGGGTCGTGATGGACTATAAATGCACGTGGAAAAGACGTCGCCAGGTGACGTCCTCTCACCCGATACAATATATTGAACTACTTAGCTACAAGTTAAAATAACAATTATACATGCAACTGTAGACATGTACAAATGTATCTGAATGCGTTTTTAGGAAATGTTCTGTGTTGCATATTTTTACCGATTTATGACGTCCTGGCCGCAACTATTTTTGGCCAGGGACACGACGTTGCCGTCGGACCAATGTTTGCTGGGTATAGTCTGAAAATTCATACGAGTTCTATATTATCAGAAAAAGAATTATATAACACTAAACAACTTACTCCGAACTTGTATCCTCTAAGTTCGTCATCTAAGTTGCAATCTTCCTCTGAGGAAAAGGTGAACTCTTCCTCGCTGTGGAGTAGCGTGCGTTTACCGGAGTACTAGCGTGACATCATCAAAACGCGATGAACCATCAGTGAATCTGTTGAAGAACTTCGTGTTTGTATGGCATTGATCGGGGGCGTGTGCCATGCGCACATATATACCTTTGTATTTTTCCTCCGTCCATACAGACGTCGAGACGAATATTTTAATTTTTTAATTCAATGTGCTCCTCACCATTATCTAAAACCTACCATTTTTTAATTTTCACAGACCCCTATTAGAAACAGCCCTTATTTATTTAGCCCGGGTTGTGGTGTCCCGTGTGGTTTGGTTTTTTAGCTGGGACAAAAGGTAATAAATCAGAATTGGGCATCAAGACCTGCAGTGAATTTTCAGAAAAATAAAAAAAATTACTTTTTAAATGTATTAATTTAAACTAATTAGTTTTTTTTTTTGTTTAGAGCTTTATTAATCCCCGTGGGGCAATTAATTTGAGCTTACATGGTGCCTCACATAAAACACTTAGCACATACATTCAGATACATAAATTAAAAACATTTAAAAAATCACCTATTACATAGACGTACTGCTTCAGGCACGAAAGTACATTTGTAGCGATTTGTAGAACATCTAATTGCCCTTAGACTCAGTCGTCCCAGGGGCATCCGCTCAAAGTCCAAATGCAGCGGGTGTGTACTATCTCCTATTATTTTATGAGCCATCCTCAGCACCTGCTGTTCATAATAAGATGTAAGGCTTTGTAAGGGAACACACATAATTTTAGAGCACATATTAACAATGCCCTGCATTTTGTTCTTTGTAGATAATGATGAAAACCAACAAATAAAAGAAAAAGACAGGATACTTTCAACAAATGAATTATAAAATGACTTAAGAACAACTCTGTACATTAAAAGAATTAAGCTTTCTCAACACAAACAGTCTTTGGTGTGACTTTTTGACAATTGCATCAGAATTTTGGTCAAACTTTAACTTATTATCAAAAACCGTTCCCAGGTACTTATATTGCTCTACTTCCTCCACATGTGTACCATTAATGACAATAGGTTGAAGTGCCAATGTTCCCCTACTAAAATTAATTATCATCTCTTTAGTTTTTGAGACATTCAGATCTAATTTCATACTCACTACACCAAGAAATGAAATTGTACAAAACAGGACCATATTCCTGTTTTGTACAATAATCCATAATTATTAGGCTATATCATTTTTTACCACTCTCCGCACCTCCTGGCATGCTTCACACATCTAGTGCTTAACTCTCTCAACAGCTGCTGCTTCTGTGTGTTTTCTACTGTTACATCTGTATTAATAACTGATATTCATCAGTACAGTGAATCTGGAGCCTGTAACACTAGTGCTGAGGCTCTTGACTGCATCGTCCAGTCATTCGGGGTTGCTTGTGTTGCCATGACATGTTTAGCCTCAATGAGCCGCAGCGCAATAGAGAATAAAGCTATGAAGAAATATTTCAAAGAAAATATTTAGAAGATTGTATGTAGAAGATTTGCTAGTGTATCAATGTCTGTACGTTAGTGATTTAATACACAGTGTTTCCCCTACCATTGTTTTAGGGGGGGCGGCCCAGTCATGAAAATCCAGTCATAAAAAAGAAATTTACTGTATAACGCGGAATTTCATGGAATTTGTCAATCTTTTGAGGAATAAATAGAAAGCAGTTCAGTATACACTTGAAATCAAATCGCGATGTAGACAAGTGTATGTGGATATTAAACCACAAAGACAATTTAAATACGAATCCTGCTTGTTCTGTGTGAATGAATGGTGCCGCCGACGCGCAGTTTCATTTACCACACACACACACACTGAAGCACGTGTGACGCTTGCGCTGTTTTTTGGCCTATATGAAGACACAAACGCATAAACTTCCTCTCCAGGCTCTAGATCCACTCCGAAAGTCACTTCGTGATCATTTAACCGCTTCATTTGAGAAAAACTATCATTATGACAAACACACAAACTCAAAAGGTCTTCACGGCAACCCGTCAAAATAAAAGTTCGGTTTAACTTGACAGAGATATATTACCGTTGTACAGTAGAATTTAGATATGTCCCAATGTAATAATACACTAACACTAATCCAAATAAATTATCATCAAAACTGAATTTAAGGAATAATCCATGTTTTAATTTTAACAGTAGGCTAAAGCTCATTGTGCAGCACGTTATTTGACAAAAAGTTTATTTAATTTCATATGATTAAAATTGATGATAAATGATCAAATTTGTGTTTTATGTCTTCATTTTATTACCAGAAAAAACACAACACAGAATTAGTGTGAAATTTTTTTTTTTTTTTTTTTAAATGTTGTATACGTTTAATAATTCATAATACACTATCAATTAATTAGACATGCTTTTTGATTGCTAAAAAATTTACACCACGTATCCGTAACACGCCCGCTCAGCAACACTAGCAGGCCCCCCCCCCCTGAAAAAAAAATCCTAGGGGAAACACTGATACAACTTCTGTGTCCTTGACATGTCATTATATTTTTTATATAACTTTTAGGCTTCTTTTATGAAGTAATTTGTAGCTATTCTTAATTTGTGGTAAGATGTCAATTATGTAGAAATTATGTATTGTTTTATTTTGTGTATGTATTGCCAATCCTTTGCCAATGTTCTAATGTTATTGTTATTCGAGGATTAATAAAAATAAAATAAAAATGAAACCCCGCACAGTAGGGGGCGCAATGAGCCTACAACCTCTATTTGTTAGCCGCCAGTAAACGCATAAAAGAAACGCGGATAAACATCAAAATACAATAAATTAAAAAAAGAGAACCCAGTGTCTGGAGTTTTTTCCTATGGTCAGAGGAAAGGCCTCGAGGTCTCCTTCAGCGGTGAGGGCCACACCGGACCGGCGCTCTCTCCCAGCTCACACATCTAGTGATGAACTCTCCTCGACAGTCTAAGCTAGAAAGCTAGAATCCCTGCGCCTCCTGGACAGCGATACGGGGAGTTCAGGCCAAATACTCTATTACTGTTAAAACTTGTTAACTGGCTGTTGGCATTTGTGGACATTTATGGACATCTGGGTGTGCTTTGTGAATTTGCTGAAGGAACCATTATAATTTTCTATTACCATCATTTGGTGCTTCAAAGCACAAATTATAAAAAAAAAAAAAAAAAAAAGTATAAACAGATTTTTTCACAAATATTTTATTTTGGAGAATCTGGTCCTCCATCTGAAAATTAAATTGAAACAGAAACAAGTGAATGAATTTGCACAGCAGAAGATGAATCATATCACAGGATGAACAAACATCCTGTTTCTGAGTATAAAAGACTCTGCTGAATGAAATTAATATTCTTAATGATAATAATAACCTTGCTTTATGATAAGCTGCTAGGGTCCTGGAGCGGTTGGGGGCCCGGGTCCTGCTTGGGGTCCAGGAGCGGTTGGGGGCCCGGGTCCTGCTTGGGGTCCAGGAGCGGTTGGGGGCCCGGGTCCTGCTTGGGGGCCCGGGAGCTGTTGGGGGCCTGGGTCCTGCTTGGGGGCCCGGGAGCTGTTGGGGGCCCGGGTCCTGCTTGGGGGCCCGGGAGCTGTGTGGGGCCCGGGAGCTGTGTGGGGCCCTGCTTCTGCTTGGGGCCCGGGAGCTGCTTGGGGGCCCGGGAGCTGTGTGGGGCCCGGGAGCTGTGTGGGGCCCGGGAGCTGCTTGGGGCCCGGGTGCTGCTTGGGGCCCGGGTGCTGCTTGGGGCCCGGGTGCTGCTTGGGGCCCGGGTGCTGCTTGGGGCCCGGGTGCTGCTTGGGGCCCGGGTGCTGCTTGGGGCCCGGGAGCTGCTTGGGGCCCGGGAGCTGTTGGGGGCCTGGGTCCTGCTTGGGGGCCCGGGAGCTGCTGGGGCTGTGTGGGGTCCTGCTTCTGCTTCTGCATGGGGCCCGGGAGCTGTTGGGGCTGTGTGGGGTCCTGCTTCTGCTTCTGCTTGGTGCCCGGGTCCTGCTTGGGGGCCTGGGAGCTGTTGGGGTCCGGGGGCCCAGGTGCTGCGGACATCATAGATCTATGATTTCAGATTTTAACCTAGATATGGTGTGTTTGACGAAACTTACCAATTCACAAAATTAAAGGTGGGGTATGTGATTCTCTTTTTTGTCCATTTTTTCAAAATCACTTGAAATCCTATTCCTAACCCACTTACAGCCACTGAGTTAGGAACCTGTGTGTGTGTGTGTGTGTGCTCTTTGATACCAATCTTTCATTTGAAAGTCACGTGTCTAGTATCTGTAAAACCGCATTTTTCCATCTTAAAAATATATCCAAATTACGACATATGCTCTCATTGACAAATATGGAACAATTAGTTCATGACATCAAGGCTAGATTACTGTAATGCTCTACTGGGTGGTTGCCCTGCACGCTTAATAAACAAACTACAGCTGGTCCAAAACGCAGCCGCTCGAGTTCTTACCAGAACCAGGAAGTATGACCATATTAGCCCGGTTCTGTCAACACTGCATTGGCTGCCTATTAAACATTGTATTCATTTTAAAATATTGTTGATTACTTACAAAGCACTAAATGGTTTAGCTCCGCAGTACTTGAGCGAGCTCTTAACGCATTATAGCCCTTCACGTCTATTGCGATCTCAAAATTCCGGCCAGTTGATAATACCTAGAACAGGGGTCGGCAAGTAAAGTTGGCATCGGGCCAAAAAATATTTTTGACACTAGATGGCGGGCCAGAACATAGTCAATGGATAATTTAAGAAATTAATTGATGAAAAATGCAACTAGAATTGCCTGTGACAGACTGTTACAGTGTCTTTTGTAACTGGTAGTGAGCTGTTACTCTGTGTTAAATCCTGAATATTTGATTTATTGATTTAATTATAGAATATCGAATGGGTTGTGCGATTGTCTAAAAAAATCCCGATGTTTTCGGTGCTGATGTAACCAGAGGGTGACGCTGCCAATAACGCAAAAGCTGTCACAAGGAACCGGCAAAAGTAATGATTATGAATGTTTCAAATATAGCAAGGAGACATTATAATTGTTCATTAGTGTCTGTGTCGGCTGCAATATAGTGACCGCGGTAGCGCGCCTATAGAGAGAAATGCACTTTTCATATGGATTATATAAGCAGAGAGTAGGATAGGTTTCTTTTCGTTTTGAATTGTTTAGTTTAAAATTAGATATTGTTAAGCTTTCTATATATTTTTTTGTGTCTGTGAGGCAGCTTAAACGCTGAGTTCCGGCTCATTTATGAAGAGATCCAGTTCACGAGCAATGCAATCTTGCCGGCGCCTCCATGTCCTGATTATATTGTCTGCTATATTTGTTTCTTATTTATTAAATCCAGGCAATTGGTTGATAAAACATTGATTAAAAATAAGATACAAAACAAAATTTTCAATTTTTCAATTTTCAGAAAGGCTTTCTACAAAACAAAACTTAATGAAGTGGTCAGAATCATGTCTGACCCACATGTCTCCCGATATTGCGGCATCGTGCAACACATCCCGCCTTGCCAAAACACACATGTGGGAGATGCGGAATGGATAAAAATAACTAAAAAAATAGAGGACTTAAATAAGCCCATTAATGGCATTTTTGAGTCATGCTCTTAACAAACTATGTTTTATTTCCTCTTTCCATATTGTGAATAATAAATGTGTATAAGTTTAATTTGCTTTTTACACAATGGAGTCTAACTTATTGTAATAATTATTTGACGTATAGACTACTTTTAAACTTAGAATTATTCCTTGGCATCCTTGAATACTAAACTGCTTTTTTTTTATTGTTTGCGGGCTGGGGGTACGCTATTATATCGTGTGTAGTGATGTTAACATTTAAGCTAGCTGATGAGAGAAAATGGCACTATCAGAGTCTAAAGAGGAAAGTTGACAGCGAAAATAGCCATCCAAAGAATAATGAAAAGACAACTATGCGTGTCTAGTTTTGTAAATCACACGATCACACTAAATGCGTCTCTATAGCACGCAGTGTTTATCGTGCAATTTAAATGAGTTTTTACGTGCATATGATACGCATGGGTAGGTTTAGTAGTGGTGTGGGGTGCGTGTGTATTACACGCAATAAAGTGCGTATCAAATGCACGCGAAAAACGGCTTTTCATATGCACGTAAAAACTCATTGTCGCGTTTAAATTGCACGATAAACAACGCGTGCTATAGAGACGCATTTAATATAATATTAGACATTTCATGACGGTTATTTTAGAGGTGTGTCTAGCGAGCCACAGACTCTTTTGAATGTCTTTCATAACTTTTCAGGCTGTGGCGCGGGCCAGATATTATTGCTGGCGGGCCAGTTTTGGCCCGTGGGCCCCCTGTTGCCGACCCCTGACCTAGAATATCAAAATCGACTGCTGGCGGTAGATCCTTTTCCTATTTAGCACCAAAACTCTGGAACAGTCTTCCTACCATTGTCCAGGAAGCAGACACACTCTGTCAGTTCAAAGCTAGACTAAAAACACATCTCTTTGACCTAGCATACACAATACATTATAGACTTCTATAATTCAATGTTAGGCTGCATAGATTAGGTCAGCCGGAACTGGGAACACTTCCCTTAAATCCTGATGTACTCGCTACATCATAAGAAGAATGGCATCTACGCTAACTTTAGTGTCTTTGTTTATCCCGAGGTTTTCCCGCAGCCTGCCGGATCCAGGCCGTGTCCAGATCTGACGAAGGAGATTCGCCTGGACCCGATGACAACGCAGTGCTGAAGTGCCAACTAGCCTCTCCCTATGGAGGATCCCTTTCCCACTCTACAGATAAAGCGGTGTGAATTCGGTTAGCGTACCCACCCCGAAGTGATAAAATAAAACAAAATTCTGTATCAAATTATAGGCAAGAGAAGTAGTTTAGGCATGGTGTGTAGGGAATTACAAACCTGCGCACATATATTCAAACGCACATAACTATAGAATCAATTCTTAATGCGCGTGTGAACGCCGTCAGTGTTTATCACAGGTTCAGTTTAAAGTCTGTTTAGAGAGAACGCCGTCATCTTAGCGGCCCCTAATTTAATAACAAATGATCATTTTGACGGAGGTGAATCAATCAGAACTAACTTTAGCTGGAAATAACATTATTCGAGAATCGCTATAAAGCCAAAACAATCTCTGTTACCTTAAATTATATGTTTGTCTCTGTAACACCGTGTCCTAACTACACGCGACGCGACACGCGATAAAAGGTATCTTTTCCATGTTAATCAGAGTTTTTGTCCTAACCAGACGCGACGGCGACACGCGAAGTTTCTAATTTAGAAACGGTTCCTATTTCTGCGACGTCGCGGCTGACAGATCCGCCCACACAGAGATCTCATTGGATGGAAGTTCTGCGTGTCATGAATATTTAATCATCAAACATGGACGACGAGGAACTGATTGTCGAAGTTCAAAAGCATTCAATTCTCTACGATAAATCCCACATACCTCAGAAACAAGCCCTCATTGTGCAGAAAGTGGTTCAGGTCATTGATTATGTCCTTACCCATTTCCAATCCGAGTGCGGGCCAGCAGTGCGCTTTCACAGAGAGACTCCGCCCACACGCTGTTCTGAATGGCTGTGATTTTTGATTGACGTGTGGCGTCTCACAGTCACGTCGCGTCTAGTGTGGACTAGGGGTGTCGCAATATACCGGTATTGACGATAATCGTGATATTCAAAGCTTGAAATATCGACATCGTGTTAATTTAGAGTGTGGCAATATACCGGTATTGGCGATAACCACGATGTTTAAAATAAATAGGACTTTTATGATAACATGACACGTATACTCCAGCGCCAGTTGAGGTGGCAGTATTGCACCCGCTGACATCTATCAAATGAGAAGACGACGCAGCGCGCGCCCGCGCATCAAAGAAAACAGCACATTAAAGGGGGTCGCACACCGGACGAGAAGCGCAGAGAATTCTTTAAAATTCGAACACATTATTTTCTAGGAGTTTACACACACCACCGGCACCATTCGGCGTCTGTCCGCGACGCCCAGCAATGGCTCGGATTTTCAGGTGAGATTTTCAAATCATTCAGTTAATTAACGGATGCGCTCTGACTGAGGTAAAGTGTTCAGAGTGCAGACTTAGCAATGATTGTATTTAATTGTACAGAACAATCATAACATAGTACAGACATGATCTTAATTTCATAATGTCCTTAAACATAACAATATTGCTGGCCATGAACTGAGAAAGTGCGCGTCAGGTGTGCTACACGCGGCGCGGAGCTGCGCTTCTCGTCCGGTGTGCGACCCCCTTAAGCCCAATCTGCAGAATGTGTAGCCACCAACCTTTTTACCCATCTCCGTGTCCATCACCCTGCGGATTACGCTATTTTACAGAGAGTAAATTGCGATTATTTTACTAGTCATGGAATGGGAAATGTGACATTAACCTTACAGCGAGTTTTTGTTTTCAAATAAAGGGTGATTATTAAGTACCCCGTTTTCTTTACTCGTCTTATTTTTGTATTTTTGTATTTGCACTTGATTTGTTTTGTTCAAATCTGCATGACTTGCACCGGCGCAACAATAGGTTTAAGAGCTTTTCAGTTCTTCAGGAAACATTCAGACAGTGTTTCGCTCCAGTTTGAAACCAGATATACTTCACATGCTTGTCTTACTTCACAAAAATGTGCATTCAAATATAAGAACGCAAGAAGTAAAAATGCAAAAAAAGAAAAATTAAATAAACAAAGTAAAAATTAATTTGACTGATTTGACATTTTTTCCCCCAAGGTTTCTATAGATATCGCGATATATCGATATCGTGAATTATTTTGGCCACAATAACCGTGGTGTGAAAAATCTAACATCGTGACAGCCCTAGTGTGGACAGACACACTTGCTGTCGCTGGAATTTTATCGCGTCGCGTGTAGTTAGGACACGGTGTTAAGCTGCTTTGAAACAATCCATTGTTAAAAGCGCTATATAAATGAAGATAACTTGACTATTTTTCTTTCTTTCTTTCTTTCTTTCTTTCTTTCTTTCTAACTAATATATACATTTCTTTACATCTT